AATAATCTTTAGAAGACACCTCAAAGAGATTCAATTCATAAGTTGGTCCAAATTGGGCTATAAGCTACTACAACATTCTTGTTGTTACTTGTGCAGGGCAGAATTTTCAATCAACTTTGCCAATTTTTTGGAATTTATAAAGATTGAATCAAACTCTAAATTTTACATTGTAGGAAGCCCTTTGAGTCTAGTTTCAAACGCAACAAATGGAACTCAATTCTGACTTTCGTATACGAAGTTATTGCCAATTTTCCAAAGTTGCGAAGAGCCTCCTGCGAAAATTTCTTGATTTTCTAACAACTTGAGATTATGAAACTTTTCTTAACAAAATTCACTCCCTTGACTCAAATTCAATCATTAAAGCAACCAAGAATCAAAGGTAAGCGAGGTCACACAAGGGTTATAAAGAAAAGTAAAATTTCGGGGTCTCACAGTCATTGGTGCCACAAGAAAACTGTTTCGAAAAATAGGACTAAGAGTCGTCATGAAACTCCTGTCACCCATAGATCTCCTCAAGATCAGTCCATGTTTGTCTCACCCTTTACTATTCATCCTAGAAGGTCATCTCCTAGGGCCTATTCATCTAACTTTGAGGTCATCTCCCTACTTGAGGACCTCCGACAGCATATTTTTCTTCTAGAGGATGGTCTGATGATGACTATGTCACCTGAACAACAAGCCTCTTTCACTGCCAAAAGGAACTTGCTTGTGCCCCCTATCCCTCAAGAAAATGAGCCAACTGAACACACTCCACATACTAAATCCAATCCAGAAGTTCATGCTTCTAGTTCTCAGCCAAAGGATAAGGGAAAAGCTCCAACAACTGAAGACAATAATGATGATGAGGAGATTGAAGAAGAATAAGTGGATCTTGCTCAGTTTCACCTAACTAGGAGGCGGCCCGGATCGTCCAAGATCTCAATTTAGGCACCTCTAGGCACGTGCACTTCATGTTTAAGTTGGCATCTCATACTAGTCATTTGTATCTTCTACATTTTAACATTTCAAGTACTCTGTACTCAGGATTCTGGTTGTTTAGATAACTCTATTGGCTTGTAAACTTTGGTTAACTTTTATATTTTGAATGATTTCTAGTTACTTTTGTTGGTCATCCTTTGTTTGGTTAACTCTATTTACGAATGATTGGCATCTCTGTGATTGCTGATATTGGTTTTTGATTAATGATGCTGGTTAATGCTGTTTTTGGTATTCTTGGTTAATGATGTTGCTGATGACATTGATGTTGTGTTGCTGGAAGTGGTGAAATGAATTTGAATCATTTAATAATGACAACAAGGGGGAGAAATGGATGAGGATAATAAGAAAATGGAATGTCAGGAAGTTTTAAAGTCTTCTGGTATATGTGTGAGAAGGAGTGGCACTTAGAATTTTTTACACTATGCATTAAGGGGAAGTTTTGACTCAATGATTCTTTTTCTCTCCATCCATTGTTTTGTCATCATCAAAAGGGGAGAGATTGTAAATCTAAGTCCCTAACTTTTGATGTTTATAAAAAAATGGATGTTACTAATTCTCTCTTCAAAGATCTTTTCAGCAATAGAGCAAATCAGGTTTAAAGATTAAGCACATTTAGAAAAGACAAAGAGTGCTGAAGCGGTCGGACGCTCACAAAGACTGGATCGGACGTCCGACAATCATTGAGCAACTTTGGACGCATGAAGAACTCCCTCACCGGATGTCTGAAAGAATTAAAACATTTTCTCTAAACTTACTGATCTCGATCGGACGGAAAATGTTAAAGCATCGGACATCCGATAAACTGCGAAACACTTCGGGCGCAGAGCACTGGAGATACCAGACGTCCGAAAGAATTGAAGAAGATTCCTCAAACTTTACCATCTGCTTTCGGACGTAAACTTTGTAGACACCGGACGTCCGAAAGAATTAAAGAAAATTTTTTTTGCTCTCTGCCTGCTGTCGGACGCAAGAAACAAGACTACCGGACGTCTGATACTGCCAACGGCTAGTTGACTCTTCAGCTGCCTTCTATCCGTTGGAAGATTTAATGGAGGAATTTTTTGGGCTCATATAAATAGAGCAAAATCAACCACTTAAAAATACTTTTGCACATTGAGACTACAACAGATTTTAAACAATTTTAGTGAGAAAATTCTTTTCAAAGAAGATTTGTACTCTTAGTTATATAGATTTCGCATAAGTTTTTCTTGTGTGAGAAAATTACTTCAATAGTGTAACTTTGTGAGGGTTATCCGAGTGATAGTAAAATTTTCTAACTTGACCAAGTGTGATTTGGAGCAACGAGGAAGTGATTCTTTCTTTGTACACAAAGATTGGTTATAATTGATCAACTTGAAGAAGCTTACTCTATAAAGTGAGTCTCAAACTCAAGAGGAGTTTGGAATTCGGTTTGCTATTCTATCTCTTTCATTTACTATCTTGCAATATAAGTTGTTCATCTCTTCTACTCACGAGCATTTGTACTTTCTCATTATTTGTTCCATTGTGTGGTCATCTAGAAAAGAGGGTAAATTTCACATTGAGCAATAAGTGTCTCATAACTTGGTTAGTTTTTAATTTACCTAATCCCCCCCTCTTAGGTTGTTTTCGATCTTTACACCACCTTCTCCACATTTATCAGGAAGCCAACTCTGCAGCCGATGCCCTTGCTTGTTGCGCCAGTGCAAACCGTGTGTCTGATATTTATCGCTCCCAACATTTGCTAGACCCAGTTAAAGGTTTCGTTGTCTTTAGATAGATTGAGTTTTCCTTACTTACGAATTTCATAGCATGAACTCTTCTGGTTCCAATCAATAAAATAAGGTGTTATAAAAAATATAAAAAAAAATAGATCCTAGACTATTTATCGAGCGAAGCATGAGATAACTTTCATGGATGACATGGAAACTACTTGGATTTTATTTCTAGAAAGAAGAAAATTGGGGTTAGATAGTATATATAAAGGGAGAGGAGAGGGTTTGGTGTAAATATTTTATTGTCGCTTTACGTACTTTTATTTTTGTCTTTATAAAAGCTAATTTTATTTTAATTACCTAAACACACGTTGTCAAGATAACTACCTGCAAGAATTTTTCAATTTACTGTTTAGACATATATTTTTTTTCAATGTAACCACCCTTAAATAGTAACTGCCAACTTAACAATCATCTTGTCAAATAGTTTAGAAGATCAAAATTTTCTTTATTAGTAAAACTTTATATGTAAAATTCATTCATTATAAATATTATGGATTTCTTTATTACATACATATCGAGTACGCATTTATCATTAGATATATATTATTCTAAAGCTTGTTTATGAACTTAAATTTCACCAAAGATGTCATGGGAAGTCTAATAATTATTTAAGGAAACCTCCTCTAAGGTTTCTCTTCATATCACTTACATCCTTGAAATTTTTAAAATCTCACTTACTTCTCCTATCAATTTGATAGGGCTAGATATCTCTTTCAATGAGACGACAATACGCTTGCATTCTTAATAATTATTTAAGGAAAAATTCCAAACAAAAAGAGAATTTTTAACCCGAAAAAATAAACAAATGACCATCCAATATTAATCTATATTTCTATATATCTAGGTGGTGGTAAGGCATCAAAGGATATGGTTAAATTAAATTTAGTAACGTCCACCACTTAAAATGATTTTTTGGTAGGTAATTTGTGCCTTAGAATATCTTGCAAGACGGATTTAAGGAAGTCAAGCAATTTTTTGAGGAAATATGTTTTAATACATGATGTAATTTAAGTTGTACTCAAATTAATAAAATCTTTCTTTATATGTGTAGTTTTAAGTGAAGAAGCTTATCCTTGACATCCTTAATCCTTGTTTTCTTTGAATCCATGGTGCTTGGCATTGATCTATTGCTCAAGTTTGTTCTCACTTTCTCGAAATAAAGCCTCGTAAAATTCTTCTTGTACAAAAGTAGTTAAAAGGGTTTGTTTGTTCTCATCTCGAAATCTGTTGCTGTATAGTAACAGGCTTTAAAATTAGGAGCGGTGGAAACCTGGGAAACAGAAATTAGATTTAGTTTGCAAGTTCAGTTGGGATTGTTTTTAAATTTTCATTAGCTGGAAATCCCACCAGTCCCCCGCATTGGACCGCTTATGATGGAAATCATTGGTTTAACTTCATCAACGAATCTATATATCATGATCAACCCCTGCTCAAGTTGAAGAAGACACTAAACTAGATTATTTAGTTAAATAAGAGTCAGGAAATTAATCCCTCGTAAACACAAGATATATTACTGGATGACTTAAAAAGTAATGATCCACGAAGCATGTAGGCCAACTATTTCAAAGTGCTTTAATTTAAATCCTAAAATTTGTTATCAAGATTCAGTCACCAAACAACCTTTGTATCCATACACGCACAATGAATAAAAGGAGCTCCTCTTTTCAATTAATGTCTGCATTAAGAATATATTAATTTGCCCTAGTTTAGAATATTATGATCTTACATCATTAAATATAATTCTAAGGGATCAATTCTGGATACAGAAAAGTATCCAACCAATTCTAGTCATAGATTACCATCCGGCAATTAATTACACTACAAGAAAATTGGTTTTTAGTGACAAGCCATTTTCATCACAAAAAAAGAAAAAGTCGTCACTGATAAGTTTTATTGACAACTTTCTAGTCGTCACTGAAAGGCCCGTCGGTAAAAGTATACAGTGACAACCTTAAAAGTCGTCAGTGAATGGAACTATTTTGCGACAACTAGTGTCGTCAGTAATTGTTGTAATTTTAGTGATGACATAGTATCTTGTCAATGATGTACAAAGCAATGTCGTCACTAAAACTAATCCATAGTGTCAACTAGTATAAACTAATTACTGACAACTTCTGTTGTCACTAAACAGTTTTCAATTCCATAACAATAGGTGGTTGTCAATGGAGAAATCTAATTTAGTGACAACACTTTGCCACCATGAAATTTGATGATTTTCCTGCTAAATTATATCATAAATATGAAAAAAGAAAAGACAATGGTTTACAATTAACAAATGAAGGCATCCATTACATTGTGAAATGCTAAAATATCATTTTAAGCATTCGAATATCATAATCAAGTTCAATAACACCATACAAATAGTTTGATAAGGGGTATTTAGCCTAAATTTAATATATAAGTCAAGGTAATTTTACAAAACAAATCCAAGTCCCCAAAAAAAGTGTTGTCGAAACATTTCTTGAGCATAAGATTTTCTCTATAGTTCTTGAGTCAATTAGCAACTCTTGCTGCTGATCTTCCAGAAGTCTATAATGAGCAACATATCTGCAGTGAAGTACTTCAATTATTAGTGGGTGATAAGAAAAACTTGAGACAAGAAAGAGAACTTAAGAATTTGCAAGAAAATAAGCTAAATCATTTCTTTTAAGTATCATCTAGATAGTGACTAAATAAGAGCAAAGTAAGAGATAAAGCACTTAGAACTTCTGACAAACAACTAGGTAAGATATAAAATTGTGATTGTACTAATCCAACCGTATAAATTCATTAACTTCCTAAAGTTTTGCAAACTTTTTTCAAGTAAATATCAAAGAGAACAAACCCAACATTGTTGACCATAGCTGTGACGCCCCCACTTCTCCCAAGGGCGAACCCAAGGGTATCCGCGGGACGCCTGCCCAACTCTCGCCAGAATTCAAGACAATTCAAATCGAACTTAACAATACATACCAAATACTACAAGTCGAAATAAAGAAAAGTCGCTTCCTTAACTAAATATTCAAATCTTACATCATGTTCACAAAAGATACATCAAGTCCCAAAATACAACCATTAAAAGTCGACTACACATTTACAGCCCAGATTCCAATCAAAAGTATAATCTAGTCGATTTTTCCAAAATCTTCCAATCCAACCTGTTAAGGAAAACAAACTAATGGGATGAGCCAATACTCAGTGAGGCCAAGAAACACACATGCAAACACATAATCCAAGTAGCCACAAATTACATAGTAAGTAAAGCTATAAAGTTCGAACTATTTCACATTTCGAATAGGAAAAATAAACAGAAACAATTCAAGGATACTGTAGCTCTCAGGAGCTAAATTCCACGTAGTTGAGTCGAAGTCTTGATCACATTTTTCGTTGACACTCCGTCAACCACATAAGTATCAAATCCGTAGATACACCACTTTTCTTCGAATCCCGTCACCGTTACACCCCTTACCGGGCCCGCTCATCAAAGTTTTTGATAATACTTGAGTATATCATGGCAATGCACTGTAATGCCGAGCAAGATCTCTCCAATAGATCATACTCTACGAATATCTCATGGTTGGCTAAACTTATCGACCAAGCCCATGGTGGCTCGATTCGCAAAGTTAACCAACGAGTTTGGGCGTCTCCCGAATACGAATACAAATACGAATACGAATATAAGTTGACGAGCAACGCTCAAATCGACGATTCCAAATAGGAATCACAAATACAGATCACATATACGAATCAAAACAAATACGAATCACATCCACATTACCATGTACAAGTTGGATATGAATTCACATAGCAAAATTCGAATATAATTTCATTTGAAAGAGCACGAGTGCTGTAAAGTACACCCTCGTCTCAAAATTTCAAATTTTCATAACGGATAAGAAACAGATAACCACTTAACATCAAGTTCATGCACTTGACACTCACCAATCGAAACAAGGGAGTAAGTGCGTAAACAAGCCTTTAGGTGGTCCCTTCGAGATCCTCTTGTAGGTCTCCTTGAGCACCTGAGCAAATAGTAATTTTCTATTACACACTATCGCTTAAAACCCCTAATTATCGAGAAAGATTGCACACTTGTACAATCTAAGAAAATTTACGAAAATGAGCCTTAATTACTCGTAAATCAAGACTCAAAAATGGGATTTTAAAACACAAGCGAAATCTAATTTTCATCTTTGAAATCAAGTGTAAAACGGTTTAGCAATATCGAAGGAAAATAGAGAGTTCGCAACCCTCAATTTCCTTTAAGTTCGGAAATTTCAGATTTGTCACCCATACTTTGGAAAATCGTATCTCATTCTCTACAAGTCCAAAATTGAAAACTTGGTGCCATTGAAATTACTTCCAAAGTACTAAAAGTTCCTAGAAGACACTTTTCCATGATTCTAATTGGAAAATATTCGAAATTTAGCCCAAAGCTGCCGTTTTAGAAAGTCAAGACAGATTTGGGTTGATTTTCGACAAAGTTTGAAAATTTGGCAAAATTCATACAATTCGAGCTAGCCTCTAAAATTTGGAACTCTATTAGAGTTGTAATCCAGGTTTAAAACAAAATAAGCAGAATGAGAATTGAAATTTCGAGCACCAAGATATGGTAGCTCAAAGTTACTCAAATTTCCTGTTAAACAACGGTTTTCCAAAATCAATTCACGAACTTTGGAAGTTTAGTTGAGCAATGAAACGGCCTCAGAATAACACTAAAATTAGCAGTATAATACTACATATAAGGGTTGTTCCTCTACCAAATTTCATGGAGAAATAAGCACAGAAAGTGGGTTAACAAAACCGTTGAAATCACAAGAAATTCTAAGGCTAAGCTGCCTTTGAACTTCCGTTTTGCCGTTTCCAAACATTTGGTCAAGGAACATCTCCAACATGGTTCATTCCATTAGGAAATGTCCAAAATATATTCAAGGTACATTCGATAGATGATTTACAATAAGAAACTTTGGATAACAAGTCCCAAACCGTAGTTAGTTTCAAATCTGTCCAAAAACACTGTTTTCGTTCACAAAGTCAGTTTTGAATTTCGATCACAAATCAGTCAATTCAACTCAGAATTAAGTGTAGTTGGTAGCGTTGGAAAATAGATTCATAAGGCTACATTTTCTCAGAAGAAACCATTTTCAAAATCTGTCCATAACCAGCTCATACGTGAGCATCAAATCGCAGTTCATAATCTGCCTCCCAGTGACAAACGAAACAGACAGCAATTTTCAAACGAATGGTTTGGCTCACTCGAGTGGAACCAAAATGTGAATTTTATACCAAATGAAAGCTGGGAATGTCTAGTTTCCAGTGCCGCAAACAGCACTATATTCCGACATTGGAGCAATGAATTATAGCCGAAACAAGATGACTGTCTGGTAGTGACGGAATCATTTTCCAGTTTTCTAAACTTTGGAAATCACTTCATTTAACCAACCAAATCATATTATTTTTCCATGAAACTTTTCACACAATCAGTATAACATGTAAACAACATAAAAGAGCCATTAGAACCTCAAAATCTTGCACGAAAGTGGTCGAACAAAGCAGGGGTAAAATGGTCACTTTTTCCCATTGCACTCATTTGAGTTTCCATCATAACCCAACATTAATCCACTAGTTTAAGCACTAAATAAACATTATTACCATCAAAACACCACAAATCAGTCCATATATCCAAGGCGGGAGTTCATAGAGCCCACACAACCAAATTTTCCATCAAAACAAACTACCCATATGCAAGTAAGAGTTTAAAGGTGCACTAGAACTTCCATAAATTAAGTTTCCGAGGTTGATCGTACCTACTTGCTTTGATGTGTACAACAGAAATTTTCGTCCTCTCCTTGGCCAAGAAAACTGTGAAAAGCTCCCCCTTTTCTTAGCTAGATGTAATCTCCAAGAGTTTAAGCTAGGTGCGGTCAAATTTTGAAGTGAAACGGAGGAAGTTTGATGGAGGAATTTGAAGAAGAAAGTTGAAGCTTGGAGCTCTCTTTTCCCTTGTGTTGTTCGGCTGATGAGAGCAGAAAAATAAAGCAATTGCTGATAATAAGCTTCCGTGAGAAGCTTTAAGATTTGGCCAAAGTTTGTTTCAAAAGTCAATTAGGAATAGTGCGCGTACGCGCACGTTTTGTGCTCTGATTCCTCTCGAGTTTATTTCACTAGTGCACTAAACCTCTAATGCACTTGTATACATACTATTGTTATTCAGTTTTAATAGTCCAAAAATAATGGCTTTAGTTCCTCAATTAATCGCGCGCGTAAAAACGCGTATCTCCAAATTAAGCGCAATAAAGCGAAACTTCCAAGAATTTTGTAACGATAGTACTAATAACTATCACTTAAGTACTTAAACATAAAATTACCTATTTTTAAGTCCATCCTGCAAGTCTCTAATTTCCAAACTTAGTGTATTCTCGAATTGATTATTAACTCCAATCGCGTATTCGCTATTTTCACTTCACGAGTTTTCAAAAATTAAATTTGAAACGAGTCACTTTAAAATTATAACGAAGCTATAAACTCATGTAATTAGGTCTAAATGACTAGAAAATAATATTCGGAGTAAATGGGCAATTAAATATTAAATAAGCTCGAAATGGAATTTAAAAAATAAATTTGCGAGTCCTCACATGAGTCGAGTTTTAACTCCTCAAATCTCAAGTTAACTTTTCTTAATCTACTATGATCATTCTTACTTCTCAAAATTAATATACTCTCGATTCAAATATAGTCTCAAAAAACGTATACTCGTTTCCGAACTAAACGATTTCGAAAAGTAAATTTTCTAACAAAACGCTTTAACAACATAAGAGAGGTGTTTTTCCATAAAATGGATTTTAAGTAGTCGAATTAAATAACTCGGAGAAAATGAGTGAATAACTATTTAATAAACCAGTAATATATGACGAAATAAGAAAATTTTCGGATCCTCACAATAGCACCCTCTCAAACATCAAAATTGATGGAAGCTTTAGTGCTAGAAACAAGATAGCAACCAAAGATTCTAATCAAAGGTTAACCTTCAGAACTGCTTTTCAATTATCTAGTAATTCAAAAGCCAAACCTAAAACTGCTACTAAGCCAAAACCTAACCTGCTACTATATGAAATTTTGATTCATACAAAGTTATAAACATTTCTTTGTCTCTGCCAAGGATGGCTTAGCACAGTACTGCTACAACTTGTTTTATTGATCCTCAATAATTATCACTAATTCTTTGGAACTGACCAATACATCTGATTTTACCAGGGTGTTTTAAACTATTGGAAATTAAGGGAAAAAAAAATAAACATATGGATTTTACTACTGTTCGCTCAATAAAGATAGCCTTATCATCTCCGACCTAATCTTGGATTGCTTATATGACTTTTGCATCATTATGAATGTTGATCAACTCTTGCAAAATATTTGAAGCTATCTAATTCCAGAACAACAAATCACAAATGAACCATTATTAATAGAAAAAAGACAGAATTGACAGATTTGCACCAAAGTAAATGAAAGTTTAAAGTTAAAAATATTGGTTATTTTAGGTTCACTGATTTGAAGGCTAGTTTTCAAAGCATTGCGTTAGATTAAAAGCCTGCTCAATCTAACATGCACATTAATCAAGAAGAAAGTCAATTGATAGGAATATCTAAGTAACTTTTCTTTGAGACATACATTTAATATTGAATCTGAAAAAAAAAAGTTCTGTTGGCTAACATACTTGACCAACAAAACATAGAACTTTGGAAGAGACATGATAACAAGTATGTAATTCTCACACTCATTTTTGGATACTTAAAGTAACATAGACAAAATATGAAAACAAAGTTTCTCATTCAAAATCAAAATGAAAATCAGCCCAAATTCTTCTTTCTCATTCTTCACACCCTGGATAAGACAACCAGATAAAACATTTTAAGTGCCATCTTCATAGATTCATGGTATTTAAGCAACCTATCTTAGTAAGTTACAGGACAAAAAAACATTACAAAATCTTACTGAACAAACTTATGACCAAAATTCGTGCTGTAAATGGATATTTTATTTCAAAGAATGCAGGAGCAACTTTTTAATCAGTCATCTAAATGATTCAAATGTTCTTGTTCTGTCTCAGCTTCAGCAAGCTCTCTCTAGCAGTCTCACGCACACACACATTGATAGAGCAATGTAGCTCAAAAAAATAAAAAGATATTTAAAAAAATGAAAAACAGATTTTGATGGAGAAAGTATCAGGTAGTTAACCACCACTACTAGGGGCATCCAATCTTTCAACCACAATAAACCAAAAAATTTGGTATACCAGTTGCTAGGTCCAGGTTTAAGATTCATACATTAATCATACCCTTCAAAGTAACACTACTACCAGCTTTTAGTCTATTATTCAACCCACATTCTGCCTCCCCATTTCTTTAATTCCTCAATTAACTGTTAGCCAATCTTGGCATAACAACATAGCAATAGGATTGGCAGCAACCAACCCCTTCCCCTGCAACTTTTTTGTGGGATCAAGACATACAACAGAAGGATTTTAAAACCTACAATTTTCTGAATAAGAATAAATCAATAAATATAGCATATTTCACTAGTTCTGAAAATAAATGAAGAGAGTAAATTATGTCCAAAACAGAACAACAGATTAATGGTGGCAAAATGTGCAACAACACATGAATGGTGGCAAAAGACTATCTATTGATATAGGAATTGATTAGTTTCAGAGAGAGATACATCCAGATGCTATCACTAAAAAAGCTTTTACTCATTTGGATAACTCCTTATGTATTTTTGCATTACAATAGGAAACATATAGTACAACTGCAATCAATACTGTTAGCTTAGAGAAAAGGTTTTGCAAGAAAAAAAGCTTAGCAGTATCAGTTCAAACCCTCAGCAGCTTGCTATGTGAGCAGGATGTAGCAGACAATAACCCTTCATTTTTTGGCTCATTCCCAACCAATGCACTTTTTGACTCAATTGGAGACAACCTATCTGAATTATTTCCAATACTTTTACAGTTTAAAAAAAAAAAGCTCGTCCATCAAAATGGAATACTAAAAACTTATAGCAGAGAGACAATAAAAATAGATATAAATGACTGGTAAAAAAAAAAAGCTACCTCCACTACACTGCGTCAGGAAATTTCGCTTCCTCTCCAAAAAAACTACAAGAAAGACAGTAGCAGTTGCATAGACCTAGACAATGAAGAAACCCAAAATTATTCAAGGAAAATGATAAAGCTGAACGAAGAAAAAAGAAAGGCCAAAATTTTTACCAGAATGATAAAAGATCCAACTCCACTAGCACCACCCAGAACAAGAAGTGATTTACCAGCTGAAAGCCCAGTGCTTTCAAGTTCCCCCGTACGCTATTTCAACGGCAACAGGAAGGTTAGCTGCCTCGGCAAAACTCAAATTCTTGGGCTTCGAAGCTAGTACCTTCTCCTCCAATGTATTGTACTCCGCCAGTGACACACATCCCTTTGGGTACAAAGCATGCTCGTGAATCTCTCCGAATACTTCATCCCCTACCTTGAATTCCTTCACCAAAAAAATTTTGTGAAAAAAAAATTAGGGCAAATTTTGCAAAATGTTGCAGAAAGAGATGATTAAATCCACGACTCAAACTAGCCACCAAAAATTTTGCAAAAATATACTTGGGGAAAAAATTTAGGCAAATTAATTGGGGAAAATTAGGGAAACAAGTAGAGACATGAGAGGACCTAGCTAAGCATTGACCTTGTAGAACTAGAGGACGGCAAGCTTGACCTTCTTCTTCTTGTGCTTGATCTTCTTGGGCTTGGTGTAGGTCTTCTTCTTGCGTTTCTTGGTGCCACTGCGGAGGCGGAGGATGAGGTGGATGGTGGACTCCTTCTGGATGTTGTAGTCGACTAGGGTGCAACATCCTCCAGCTACTTGTCGGTGAAGATGAGGCACTGCTGGTCTGGGGGGATGCCCTCCTTGTCCTGGATGGCAAATGGGAGGAGGAGATAAGGGGTTTGAGGGGATCCATTCATCTTTCTGGGGTTGGGTCTCTATGTTTTCTATTCCAATGTTTTACCCACATCACATTGCAACCGGTTCTGCAGAAATGACAGTGTCATTTTCTCTTTCTGATGCTTTTAATTGTAGCCGTGAATTGGTCTGAAATGGAATTCGTGAGGCCCCGTTTCCCTTTCTATCACCAATGTTCTGTATTCTCTTGGCTGCCTGCCCGCCTCCATTGCTGCAAGGGTTTGGAAAATGAATAAATGGGGTTGAGAATAAAGAAGTTGACTGAAGGATTGAGAGTGTGAAGAGTACTGAAGACATCTGGATGTGGGGAGTAAGAGCGGTTCCTTTATAGTACCCGTGCCACTTTTTTTCATTTTTAGTTTGAACAAATTTCTGGTACTACTCAATCAAGACAATCCAAGTCAATTTTTAGCTTCAATTTTTATTTAAATTTACTAATGTATTTCTAATAACTACATCTTAACATATTTATTAAAAAATTATAATAGATGAAATTTTTTGCTAAATTCAAAGAACTGGTAAATGTACTCTTTCTCAAGTTGTAATAGTTTATATAGTTGTTCTAACTAGAAACTTTTATTAATTTTTTCAGTTAAAAACCTATTATTTTTTGAGTAACTATGACTAGTTTAATAAATCATCAAATTTTTAAAAAAATTAAATTAATATTGAGGCTCACAATTAAATAAATGCATTGGAGATGTTCAAGTTAGTGATGATACTATGTTGTCATTAACTACGCTATAGTTTTACTGACAAAAAATGGTCATCAATAAATATAAACAGTGACAACAATGAAAAGCTGTCAAAAAAGAGATAGAATTACTGACAACTTTTATCAAGTTGTCACTATCACAAAACTCGCGCCTTCCAAGTCCCATGGCGCGAAGTAGTTTTGTGACGACAATTAAGGGTTGTCACTGAAAAATTAGTTGTTTTGATTCAATTGTGACAACCTTCAAAGTTGTGACTAAACAACCTCATTTTGTGACGACTTTTTGTCATCACAAAGAAATGTTGTCACTAATGACCTTTTTTCTTGTAGTGTTAGCTAATTGAGCAAATAAGGGGACTATGATCAGAAAAATCAAGAACATGGAGTCGAAACCCTAAATCCATGTAGTTATCTGGCAATTTGTAGCATAATTTGTTTCTTAGAAGATCGAAGGCTTATAAGTAGAATGATCTTTGCACAAGTTTTATAGAAAACATTGAGAGGGTAAATACACAACAGGGGACAACATCAGATTTTTTATTTTTTATTTTTTAAATGAATGCGGAAAGTGGTAATTCATGAAAAACTCAAATTCCCTAAAGTCCACTTCTGAATGATGGTCCGGTAAATGCTCTCCCATAATCATGGTCCATTGAGCATTCCTCTTCTTTGGGATGGAAATTTGGAATATTCCCCTTCTGATTCAGGGTCCGACTGTCCTTCGATCTGCCTTTGCCGAACGGGGTAGCTTAAACTTTTGGGTACATCCATTAGACACTTCGGGATAATCATGATTGTATTCCACTGTTTGAAGGTTGTAACTAAACATTAACCCGCCATTAACAATTAACACATGACCATTTTCCACACGCATCAGTGGCATCAAATTTCAGTTAGGGTAGAACTCAAAGAATGTCAAATTCAAGATCTCAAACAAAGGAGTCCAACATTCTACAATGCCATAGTCTTTCATCACAATTACTTCGTAAACTTTGGTTGTTAGAAACGAGTCAAGCAAAAGTAGCCAACTAAAAACCCCCGCACCAAGTACATTGCCGTCTATCTCACTTCTGCATTACCATGGCAATGGAACCTCGCATACTTCATTGCCGTCAAGTTCCAGCACGTAGCAGAAGTATGTTGTCCATGGATTCCACGAGTACAAAGAAGTTCCAACAATTATAAGCAACATACAAGTCGCATGGACCCACCATACCACAAAAAGAATAAATAAAGCCACTTCTTTAACAGAAAAAATTTATCTCATTAACATACTTCATCAACCATTGATACATCTGATATAAAGCCCTGATCAAGTTGAAGTCACTCAATTGATTACCTAAGTCTAGAAACAAGAACATGATCCCCCATAAACACAAGACAATACTTTATTCAAAGACTTAAAAAGACATTTTCATGCAAAACAAGATAAGCTCCCTTGTGAACAAGTGACTGAACCTGGTGATGCAATTTTTAAAGAGAACTACTTGAGGTACTTAACAAACCAATCCAACGTATCCTGATGGGCCTCTGCTGCTGCCTTCACCTCTTTTTCATCTTCATCCTTGTATCTCACAGTCCATCCATGTGTAGCCCCAGGAAATATCTTCACGAAACCATCAACCTGCAAGAAAAATTCTATCAATTCCTCATTTCGTTAACTTTGATAAATGTCAAAATTGTTGATTACCACTGATTTGGACTAACTATAACCTTGAAATTTGATTGCAAGAGTAGTAAAAGGATGCTAAACTAAGCATTTCAGCTACAACATCATGTATAACTTCAGAAGACAGTCTCAACCAGATAATGGATGCATTATAGTAACTAATTCTTTATCCTAATGTTTGTTTGTATATCAAACAGCACACTTTCGTGCAATTCCACAATATTTCATACACTAAAGTATACTAGTCACATGCATGCCTTAATGCTGATTTAGTTGGTGCTTCAACACAAGACTGATTAGTTCCTAAAGGGCTTAGTCCTTTCAATGTACCATGGAGGGGGAAAAAAGGTATGCTAGTCACTAGCTGCTCTGCCCAACCAGTGGAATTTCAATGAACATATAGATGAGTCCATAAACTATTCAAGCAGTTAGAAAGAGAGCAAATCGAAGAACACAGAACACACTATATGAATTGAACGCCGTAGTTCCCTTGAATTTAGTCTTTTAAGAAAATTAAAGAAATCCCAAAAATGTGACAACAAAAGGAAAAACATAACTTACAGACAGGCGCCAGATTTAAATGTATAAAATCTCTTAAATTTCCTACCTCAGGCTTAGCATCTAAGGCTTCACCAAATTTTTTCAGCAGCTGGTGGCCATTTCTGGTCCTTCTCAGCTCCCAATATAGAAATTGGAACCTTGACCCCTAAAATGTACCATAAAAAGTCGGTCACTACATGCATAAAACTGAAGCTAAAAAGTCCCAAATCTAAAATCTATCATGATTAGAGTTCCAACCATAACCTAAAGATAATTAGATCAAGCTACAGCAATCTCAGAAATGTAAAAAGGAGATCTTGTTTGGAGCAACTCAGAAAATTGCATGCATTACCAAACTGCCAGACAATATAGAACTATACAATTCAATTAGATGAAAATGAATACATCTCAAATACATGCCTCAGTTTTTATTAGCATATATTGAGTTAAAAAAATAAAAATAAGGCTTAAGGACGGAGCTATACCCTGAATATCATCCAAAGTGACAAAAGAAGGGTGTAAAAGCACTGCAGCATGGATATAGCATATTTTGCTAGTTCCACTACAACTTTTGCTGAAAATTCCAGAATTTGTGTTAGTAAACTAAAGAAGACAAAGTTATGATTTTTTCCAAGGAACTGAGAAGCAGACTGAACACTTTGATGGACATTCAACTAGCAACTGTTGTCCAGATAAAGATCCTACCTCCCCAGCAAAAAGCCTGCAGCTCCAACTTTAGTGATGCCTTTGCCTTTTAAAGCTTCAATGACTGGCTTTGCATGCTCGAAGCCTTGATCCTTTAAAAGTTTTCAAAATATTTATTTCCAAACAAAGACTCAGGAAAAGGTTGGTAGAGTTTTAGTATTTGTTCATGGAAGGTGACTTTTAAATCGGGCACTTGAAAGTTAGAATGAAAGATAATAAGTAGCAAACCGTAGTAATATTATTCTAGCAGATTCAAGAGGTAATTTAAAGTGCAAGCAAGACTAGTGCCAACATAACATCAACCAGAAAAAGAAGGGGAAAAAAGGGGAAAGAGGTAGAGAAGAAAACTAACCAGAGAAGTGAATCAAAATCTGAATGGAGTTTAAATTATCAATGCATGATTTCAAATCCAGATTTGCATTCATAGGTTAGTATTTTTGAGCAACGGTATTACAAGATAAGTATTTCAGTCAATTTTCATAGGCATAAATCTGCCATTCTAAATGTATACTGAGAAACTAAAGTGAATCCTATATTCAAGACATTAACCTCAGATCTTCGTTGAGTTTTGCTGTGTAAGGAATTTAACTCATTTAAACATCATTCAGTCTATAACACTCAAGTAAAGATACATATAAGTGGAGATGGCTTCTATAAACAAAGAGAAGAAGTGAGAAAAACGTCATCGTAGTTTCGTTCTCTAGGAAGAGTTCAGCCCCTTCAAAGCCCATATTCCTCTCTCTCTGTGATACTATGCATTTAACCCTTTTTCGCTTTCCCCATCATGCAGTCATGCTTTGGGTGGGTAAAACTTTGTGCAGCCATAAAGATTAAATGTCATGCATCAACACTGATAAGCAATTCTGTTACTGAGCACTAGACGGTTATCATCTCCTCTATCTCATTGCATTTGAATACCTACTCAAACAAATTCTTTTCCTCTTACCTCAGGCATTCCGCTTGAGAATTGATCCATTGCAGCATTTCATGCAGAGATAGCAACTTCTTGAAATATTACCACTCTATGATCATTGTTTTCCATACTAAGAAAAATTATTATAACTGTAAGATTATATTTTGTTTTATAGCAAATGTTAACTTCCTATTTTTGTTCTCATTAATGTCCATTGGTTCCCAACATCCTGACTATTCTGGTTGTAAAGTAATGCCTGCAAATAGGATTTAAAAAACTTTTTCTTGGAGCATGGATTTATAACCTAGAAACACAACCAAAGCTGGGCAATTCCAGACTAATGCGATGTAGAAAATATTGCAAAAGGAAAGTCATGAGCTACACTTTAGCCTTTAAGAGTGTCAATGCCAATACAGCTTTGATTGGTTCAATATTTGATCCCATAGATCAGAACAGACAGATTCACTGTCCAGGAAGTACTAGCATGAAGTCTAAGATCTAAAAAGGTAATCGATAGAAATCTTGACATGGTTCAAACTAGAGAGGAAAACAGAGTTCCTGATTTTGGCAAAAGGAATTGTAGCATCAAAGGGAGATATTAATACTATACTATAGTTACCACATGCTTTCAATTGAGCAAACAAAAGGTGATTAGGCTGTTATTAAGAAAAAGGCTTACAGGGCCATGATTCTTC